TCGGTCTAAAGGTAGCCCAATACGTTGGTCCGATCAGATCCGCACGGCTCTAGACTCCATTATCCACAATGCCCTTCACACCGCCAGCGATAGAATAAAGTGGAGAAAGATCGTGCGAGGACAAGTGATGCAAAAGAGTGGTCACGATCACGACCCTTAGCAATGAGAAATGCGTCCCAAGGAGGAGGACTCACTTGGCCGAAAAGATAGCAGACTGTAGCGGTAGCCTTGTTGAGATCGGACTCGCTGATACACAGCAGCAGTAAGACCAATCTTTGAGGATAGAGACGCCACGGCCCTCCCACCTTCTGACTGGTAAACGACGAGGGCGTTTACGTCTTCAGTGTAACTGGACCACTCAGAGGGCACGGTGGTGGTGAACCTTATTTGAGGACCACCGCGGTATACTCAGGGAGGTGATCAGCAGCAGCGACTTTTCGCTGCCGGCCTTAGTTGAGGCCATGTTACGGAGCCAGAGGAAATGGGAAGCCGTGTCCTCCTGAGACGTATTCATGTCCGCAAAGAAGGAGGCAGAGCGCGTGAGGGAACTGTCCTCCTCAAGGCACAGATGCTGCAGATTCCGCTCCAGGCATCGGGGATAGCGCGACTATCTCCATCTACCGTAACCGCGGGTCGGCGGACGGCGAGTAAGGTAGCTCGCCGCCCGACCAGAACCAGACCAGAGCGTACGGCGCGTAGCGTTCTGCGCACGCTTCAAAGAGCCAATAGACCACCACAGACGGAACCCTATAGGGCTGATGCAAAGCCGGGGTTGCGGGGTAAGCGCAATGAGTCACCGCGACCTCGCGCTAGAGCAGGAGAAGGAACGGGGGGTTTTTAGTCAGTAAGTCTGACACTCTCTCTCGCCAGAAAGCCGTTTGAAGATTTTTCCGTTCAAAAAAGCATTGCTAAAATTTTGTCATACTCTAGTCTGGCCACGTGTAAGGACAGCTGTCGTCTGAAGTGTTTTAATGAAATTACCAATCAACATTGATGATGAATTTTACCTGAAAGGAACTAACTAAACAAGACATGTAATTAATGGTCCAATGTCACTGGAAGTTACCGACGGGCGCCACAAAATTGCACTGTGCACAATTTCCCTGACATTGAATTTCATCTGTAAACACAGTAATTACCTACCTGCTGTGTAGTAAACAAATTATTGTAATCATATCTATTTGATCCTATAAAGCAATTCTATGGCGATAGTTGAAAATGCTAACCCCACTTATTAGAACTCTCTTGAAAGGAAAATATTACCTAAGTATTAGGTATATCTACAAGAATATTTTCCTGGAGATAATTTACCGTGATATTGAAAGTGCATTTTACATTATAGGATAATAATAGGGTCTTGAAAGGAGGATGGATCCCTCCCGGTTGCCATGCTTACAGACAGGTAGGACTAATGTCATGGCAACGGGACCTTGAATCCTGCGTTCATGCGTTATTACTTGCAGACCTTGTTTTCAATCATCTCGAACTTGATATTGAAAAATATTTTTCAAATATATAACGAAATATATAGACTAGTTCTAGCGATTTCTTCTGGGTACTTTACATTTTATTTGATGAAATTGATTTTATTGTAGGTTGTAGGGCACTTTCACTCTTATAATGCACGAGGCATCGATAACCTTGATCTTGAAATCTGCAATGATCTCACTGATATCGGCTCTCCTTTATTCGTCCGTAAAACCAATAACATGGAATAAAATTGTTATTGTAACAACTTACGAAAGACAATTTGCTTGCGAGCGTATTATTTGATATTTCAATGCCAATGCCAAATAAAGAGGTTTTGTTTCTTAAAAACGTGAAGTGAACTTTTTGTTTAACTTTTAAGGTTTCTAGTTGTAAATTTTCGAAACTTTTCCAGGTTTTCCAAAGACTTTGTAGGTCTTTATTATTTAGGGTTAGAAACTTGTGAACAATACGCCTGATTTTGAAAAAGTCTATAGGCTCAATAGATGGATGAATAGCTACAATATAAGCACAGGTTGAGACCTTAAAGAATAATTAAATTAGCGTGTTTCGTTTACTGAGGACTTGTTAGTAAATACATCTATGTATCCATCAGTTACATTAATAGGAGCTTAATCAATCATACATTGTGAAATAGACCCTAAAAGTATTAAAATAAGTTACAACATTGATGAAGAGTCGACGCGCATGGGACGCGTCCCGGAATCTGGTATGCATTTTAATCAAGACAAACCATTGAGATGTTACACGTGTAGCTAACTACACGTTTATCTCAGTGACGTCGATCTGCTGGTCAGTCTACCAAAAACCTGTTGATGCTTCCTCATAAATAAATCTTAAATACACTCATATGCATTTCTAAGTCCCTTAGCGATCAAAATACTTAAGTGCAAAAACACACATAAAAAATCACTATTACCGCAAAAATCAATACACGCCAATGACCAGCATTGATATTCGAACCGATATATTTCATAGACAATATAATCTTTTTGTTTTAACCGTGAGCAAGGACATAATACTCTTCAATTAGGTTCAAGTGTAGATTGCGTTGAACCGTGCCTCGGTGCCTCGGGGCCGAACAGGTTCAGTGACTAGCCCTGAGAGAGCAACAGGTAGAACTTGAAAGAAGGTTTATACTACATAATTAATTATGGGCGAGCCAAGCTTCGTCACGAATGGGCCGGCTCGACCGGAGTGATACCACGGCCTTACAGAAAACCGGCGTGAAGCAACACTTACATTGTGTTTCGCCGTGTGAGTGAGGTTTTCGTAGATCCCCCCCATCCTCAATCAAATCCCCTATCCTTAAATTCCTAATAACCCACCCACAAGAGGCCGGCAACGCACTTGTAGTAACTCCTTTGGTATTGCGAGAGTCTATTGGTGGCGCTGATTGCTTACCACCAGGTAATCCGTATGCTCGGTTGCCGACTTATGACATAATACATGAAGTTGACTGCAATACCTTGAGTATTATATAGTATATTAAACCTAATTATGACTTGGTAGATTAACGTCTACCCTAATTTTTTCAATGCTCGTGTTACAATTGCCATTCATTGGTAGGCGTAAGAACAAAGTACATTAGTCTACTATGCGCCGACCCGCGTCGGAAAGGCTTTTTTGTCCGGGTAAAATCATCAAATGACTTCTCCCGCCCAGGGTAAGGCTAGGGAGAGTGTCAAACTCTTAGTCACTAAAAACGCCCCCGTACCTTCTCCTGCTCTGGGCCGAGGCCGCGTTGACTCATTGCGCTTAGCCCGCAATCCCGGCTGAACATCAGCCCCGTCTGTGGTGGTCGGCTTTTTGAGGCGAGAACGCTGCGCGCCGTACGCTGGATAGCTCGGTTTTGTGCATGTAAAATGTCTCAAAATATCACTTAGTCAAATCTTTGGCATCGGTGTAGTGATTTCTTCTAACTACATCCCCTTTTTTTTCTCATATTTAAACAAAAACAAAGCAAATTCTTATGTTAATTAATCAGCTAAAGACTCAGAAGCGATTTAATAAGGCTACCGAGACATCCGGACGGTTTGGTCAGTTGTAGCTGCAAAGGAATTCGTGCACCGCCGTCCCGGGGCGGAAGGACCGGTGAGGTTTTTAATCAGAAAGAGACCCAGGACGGGAGCCTGGGTGGGGTAAAAGGGAATGTCGCGGCAAATTGATGATTTTTCTCCCTTAAAAAAATGAAGCTGCTGACCGGATTAAATGCGATGTCATGATCCATGGGCCGTCCTTTGTACATACACTCACATATAATGTTGCAAATCAGAAATCAAAATGACATTAAAGATTTCAAAGCATACTCCGTGTAGATGAAGAGATGAGTCGTTTATACAGGTACCGAAAATGTGTAAAGCTTTCATATTCCCACTCCATTCCCGATAACAGATCTGTCACAGTGTGAGGGTACTCATTGATAACACTACTGGACGTATCATTATTGTTATCATTGTGAAATTGATACTTTGTTACACTGTCAGCTCGATGGCTACCAAATTATTCGTATCGCATGGTCACCTGTAGTTTGTTTGTTCGATCAAATTCTTGTTTGCTTATCATTAACGGACAAAGTCATAGTAAGTGCGTCTTTTTTCTAATTAAAAATCTAATGAAGATAATTGCCGTTGCCGACGCATAAATATTTTATGAAACCAAAATTTCGGCCGTTGATACGCTAGATTCTATAAACAGAATTTCACAATATGGTCGACCATCAAATTCATATTTATATGGTTCCACAAAAGTTATAAATCTCCTAGGTTTTCGGACTTCTAGACTTATTACAGATTACATTTCTTGTTTTGTTTTTTAAGGGAGACATCCAATAACCTCTCCTACATATATTATTAAAGAGAGTGTCAAACTTTCACTGAGTGACGTGTCGCGCCTGACGCTCGTATCTAATTCTGATAGGGCGGAGAGAGCTACGCTAGCTCCCCTTCCTCAGGCCCGAGTGGAGATAGTCGCGCGGTCCCGGACGCCTGGACTGTCTCTTCCTTTTTAGGACTGTCTGCTTTGCAGAAGGTGGATCCCAACTTTCTTTTTTTTAATATTATTAGGGCAAACAATGACAATCTAGATTAATCTTTTTAAGTAGAACAAGCCGGCCATGTAACCCACAATCCAGCGCTTCTGTCGGTCTGTGAGTCAATTAGCTAAGCATACGTTAAAGAAGCTGGAAAATATTATTGTCCATGTTGCATCAGTTTTTATTATGTTGCTATGCGTAATTCCAGATTATTTGCAGTTCAATACTACGAACGAATATGATATGTGTATTTCGTAAATGATTTGATTTGATGAAGTTAATGCTAATAATGCGAATGCTATGCGAGTTCTTAAAAAGTTAAAAAGGTTCTTAGAAATCGTCAATCCTCCATTTGATATATTCCCACTTCTACGTTTCTAGATCACCGAAAACTCAAAGAATACTCTTGCTGCTAAGATATCCACGAGGCCAGCTTCTATATACTTCTTCACTTTCTAAACTGAAATATTGTCCACAGCGCCCCTACCTCCAGAGCTGTTGGACATACCAGACAATCTTCTGGAACGTTCAGCAAGCGACGGCACGATCGAGGAGAATTTCGAAGAGGAACTCGCGAGGGCACCAGAAGTTTATACAGAGGTATGTCATCCGTGGTCCCTAATTTGCTACTGTGGGTGTTTAGTGGGTTAAGTTAAACAGTGAGATTTGTGTTTGCGTGCCACTGACCATTTCGAGTGGAATAACTCACTCATAATTTATCCATGACTTTCAGTGTCGAGAGAATAATTTCAAACAAAATTACAAATTATAAAATATACCTATATGTTAATTAGTTTAACAAATATCGATCGCACTAATGCACGTGTAACGCAGTGTTGCGCGTTGCGGGCTCGTTACACGCTACACTTCTAATCACGGAGGTTAGGAAACCTACGCAACAGAAGTATTACGAATGCAACTATTCATTTAACATGAAAGTCTCAATCACAGTCATTATTATAATCTCGTTAAGAAACAAACTTTGTTATCAATACAATGCCGCACAATATCAGATTAGGCTTACACATACAACCCCTTGGCGTCCGCAGAGCTCGTGTCGTCATACATACATTTTAACTCAATGAAAATAACGTTTATAATTCAATGTCAAAGTATCTATAGGGAATTCGTTCGGGTCCGAAGCAACTTAAGCTGCAGTGTGATCTTGTTATACAGAGTATATGAACGTTCAATACTAGATTAAAAGTGTCACGGAAATATCGCGGGTCGGCCTTCGTTTTGATTTGGTTTTCTGCCTCTCAGTTTTAATGATACCGCTAGTTCTGTGTTCTGCTAGGGAACGAGAAGAATCGTTAATATTATAGTGATGTGCTAGAAAATATTGTGCCGCCGCGTAAATGTCAAGTGTTTGTTGACTGGACTCTTTCTATTTCATTTGCTTTTAGATTAGAAAGAATTTGGTTTGTCCGTTTTTGTTCGTCGTAATTAAATAAGAATTATATGTAATACCAATTTTAACCAGGTTTGTCATAAGTTCTAATATATTTATTCTTTATTTGATTTAACATTTCGACACTTTATTTATTTATGATAACAATACCTGAATGAATATCGATCAAGCTTTAATATTTTCACTATGTTTCTGACGCGATGCTATGCCACGATGGCCGGTGAGTACGTCGTAGCCTGTGCTACGAATATCGTAGCAGTTACGGTAGACGTAGCGCTTGCTCACCTACGAGGGGCTACATTGCTTTTATTTTCGTATCAAATCCTTTATCTACAGATTTTACAAAAACTCTATAACGGAAAAAAATAGGATAAGTTTCTAAAGAAAGTAATATCTCAAAACGGAGAAATGTAAACGAACTACGTACGAATAATTAACATTGACATTGAATGCCTTGCAAGAATAGCAAATTGACCCTTGGTCTTGATCGATTAGTATGGCATAACTATCTGCACTTTATGAATAAATAATTGTAAACAATTAATATTGCTATGTAACCGTGATAAAGGTGAATTCACCCTTGCATTTAGATCTCTTCGCTCGACCTCGAAGAATCGTTCGCGGAACTCAACAGGACCGGGCTCGTCGAAGTGGTTGGGGACGATGAGGTGGGACGCCGCATCATAGTTGTGTCAGCCTGCAGACTACCACCCAACAAGGAGCTACTACATGACAAGCTACTCAGGTACCCATACATGTAACCTTTATGTTCGCCGCACCATGGAAACCTACACTATGATGTGAATTTCTAATAATTGCACCCCTTCGGTCACCTACTAACAGTTCTATCATTGCAGATACCTCATGTTCACTCTGGACAAATACGTGGAACAAGACTATAGTGTCGTATACTTCCATTGTGGATTGACGAGCAAAAACAAACCGCCGCTTTCCTGGCTTTGGAGAGCGTACAAGGCTTTCGACAGGAAATACAAGAAAAATCTAAAAGCTTTGTACTTGGTGCATCCTACGAACTTTATACGCATAGTATGGCAGATGCTGAAGCCGGCCATCAGCGTCAAGTTTGGCAGGAAGATGATGTACGTCAACTATTTACATGAGCTGCAGCAGCACTTGAACCTGGACAAGCTTTGCATACCCGACGCTGTCCTTGAGTGAGTACAACTTGTTTTCACATTCTTACCTAAAGTGTTGATACGCATGTAATCGTCTCGTATTCATGTGTATAGGGCGCATGGGCAATCTGTTTAAGTGGACGTACCCTGAGACCGGTGGAGACAATCTTAGACGCATTAATTTAATTGCCATGTTCCCCGTGAACTTGGGATATTGAGATGGCTTCGTTTCCTTCCCGCCACCGGCACTGGCACTGGCATGTGCATATTTTGCATGTCAAAAAACACACCTGTATCATATAAGATCCTCTTTCACCAGAGACCTCACTCTATATTCGTATTGTAGGTACGCATTTGTAAAAGCACCATACAAGATGTAAGTAATGGACAAAAGATCGCAATCCTCTTTTGCTATTGTACACGTTACCGACGAAAGCGTCTTAGTTGCGTGCTACTTCTACTAGGAATATTATAAACACGTTGTAAGAAGACTAAATACTTAGGGGAAGCATACTCTTTACGTACTATTTTCCTCAAAATTTGTACATATTTAATTTTTATTTAAAATGTCATTTTATTTATTAAACTCATTTATATTCTTCGGTGTAAGGCAATATTAACTCAGTCTGTAAACTGCCCCCCTGCTGGACAGATGCCGCTTCTCACACACAGAAGGCGGGCATTAATCACCGCGCTCGTTCGTTGACGATTTTAAACTGCATATTGAACTTGAATTCAGGTTTCCTTGCCATTTGTGTCCTTTTACTGCTTGTCAAGGTTATCTTAATAAAGTTTTTAAGTACAAATAACTTGAAAAGTTTATTAGTACTTGCCAGGTTTCAAAGCCGCTCTCTCATTCTCTAAAAGCGGGCCTTGTAACCTGTGGACTACCACGATACTTTAGAAGGGGATTGGTCACCATATCAGGAATCCACCGCTACATACTCACTCAAATCATGTTACAAATGTTATATATACATAGTCTGGCTATCCACCCCTTTTAAAACTTTAAAGTGCATAATGTCCTGTTTTAAGAAGATATATTTGCATAAAACATCGATTTTTATCACATAAATATTATATTGGAACATGGCAAATAAAATAAATAATGAGTGCTAAACAACCCTTATATATATATAGGTAGGAAGCTAGTCTATGTTTTAAGATCGTAACGCGGACCGAGCGCTGTGTAAATTCAACCGTTGCACGGGGCGCGCGCCACCCTCCCGCCTTCGAAACAACATTGCACTTTGCTTGACTGCCTAACTTGACAGACCAATCACAGCCATCAACTCCTCGAGATCTATGATCTCTTAGAATCATTTAAAGAGGCTACCCCCAAACGTGAGGTTCGGTGCCGCGTAAAAGTATTTTCTCATATAAAGTTTAAAAAAAAAGTTTTTTAAAGTTACAACCATGAAAGCTTTTCTATCCTGCTGCGGGTACGTTAAGTGTTAAAACTAAAAAAAGTAGTTTTTCATTTTGTCCAATAGTGATGTGTAAGCTTTGTGTATTTTTTTAGTATGAGTGCTTTTTAAATGTTTAGATGTGATATGCGTTAATTTTTTTTACATGTCTTAAAGATATATGTCAAGTGATATGATTATTTAATTTCATTTTGGTAGTGATATATACTAGTCAATTATAATAAAAACTAGTCAATTATTTATCATTTTCGTAAATAGTTATCATTTTTGCTGAGTAACCTTTTGGGTGACAGAGGACAGGTATGTATTTCCTATATTATTTATTTCTAATAATGCTGTTGCGTTTTTTGTAGAATGCTTTTGCTTGTTCAAATAAAGTTTGCCGCCAGACTGCGCGGCCTCTGAACGTAATTTTTGTCATGTGATGACTTTGTGTGGAGTGAAAACGTGACTTATTGCAACGGCATAAGGAGCATTTCTTTTACTGAAAATAAAAGTGTGTCACTACAATTTAAGCATGTTAAGGTCTTAGGGGCACATCAATATTATCAAAGTCACGTCAGAGCTCATTAAAAATTAAGCTTAAAGCGTTTGCTTAAGGTTTATTTTAAACTAATCAATTCAGCTTTATTTACATTACCTATTCTCTGAATTAAAATTCATGAAGAATTAATTTCGTGAAATTATGAGATGAAATTAAAATTCGAATTTTCGATACAGCTTACTTATATATACACAAAATTGTAGATGCTATTAAACTTCCGCAATGCATATTAACACTCTTTTTTAAAAGGCATCCATAAAAGTAACACTGTTATAATTTCATGATTAACAATGAATCAAACAGCAAATCCTTCCACTCACTTGCTTAGAATCGTTCTAGTTCACACATACATACAATAGTGTCATAAAACTATAATCGATGATAAACATTCAAGTGTTCGGTCAAGTTCAATGCTATGAAAGTTTTTAATAAGTATCGAAGTAGTCGTCTAGTTGCACAGTTGGGCCGAAACTTCACGGCTGTCGGCCGCTGACCTACAGACCTCCTGCCCGACAAATTGTAGGCCACCATCCTGACCCTATCTCGCTCTCCGATACTAGGAAAATCTCCCCATTTTGAAATTTATTTATTATATGAAATTTTCCAACTTCTCTTATAGCGCATTATTACTTTGATGAAATACCTATTATAATAAATACGATTTATTTTCTTCAATAAACGTGCTCTACCAGCAGTTTATTAATTAATTAATACGATAAAAATTTAGATTAAGTGGCTTTACTACTAATTGCAGCCTTTTCAATTATTCTTCCGGGCAATCTTAGTACGGATTAAGTCCTAATGAAAATGAAATAGTAAAAGTGGTATCGATGAACGACGCTGGCTATTATTTTCCCCTTTAATAAATTTCTGTTCCCATAATAACGGACTAACCTATTTTCAGTGCAGGATACAAAGGTACACCCCGGCACACTACCTACACGAAGTTTAGAACCGAGATAAATCTTTTCCCTATTTCCTTGCGTTTTGTTATAATTTGCCGCGCGAGTGAACAAGAACTTCATCTTAGTTAGTATTTTTAGATCTTGATATCAAGAGTACGAGTGATCGATTACACGATTGAAAGTTGAAGTCAAGGCGGCTATAAGTAACCCCGTCGGACGGACTAAATTATTCAGCTGCGTTATTGACCTGAATGTCGCCTGCCGACAACCTATGACTGGTGCAACGCATCTATTCGCAGCTATTTGACCTGTCAATCAAGTAAAGCCTCGCGACGCGCAGAATTGCAAGGCCGCGGGCCGCGGAGCTCTCCCCCGGACCACAAAGGGTGGTCACTTTAATCTGTTTACAAACAAACGCAGCGTGCTCCGAGATTTGTTTGTTTATTTTGTATTGTTCCAAGCGTCCGATAAGCTCAGTACTTTGTTTAGTACGTGTTACTTTACTGTAATAAATTGAAGAACAGTAAAAATGGAATTATGAAATAAAAATTGTGTCCACATTTCCCAATAATTAAAAATATAATGTAGTAGAAAACCACTCTATGTTTAGCCTCTCCCCACGTTCACTTTCAATCGAAGCTCTTCATTACCTTCATTAATCCATAGCTAGACCGGCATGGTGCACCAAGGTCGCATCCACACGTATGTGACTTGGTTGCGTGGCTTTGTTTCTTTCCATTTTCTATCACAAATCAAAACAGTACTTGGTAACTGTTTCTTACAGAAGGAGAGGAAACATTTGCATAATCACTCATTAATTAACTATCGAATCTTACAACTGTACTCTTCTGCTATGGCGTTTAAAGGAGCAATCGATTTATTAATGAATATTAAACTCTCATTTACTCCTACAAAGTCCGAGAATTCTGAAACGAAACGAGACCAAGAATCCTTGCCGGATATTATAGTAATGGATCAGAATTTGACTCCTGATAATCCTAATAACTCCAACAAGATGCCAAGTCGCGGAGATCATACGCGAAGTCCGCACAACGCTAATGAGAAAAAAGCACGAAGACGAGGTCAACTTCCTCAAGTGTTCATTGTGAAGGAGCTCCCTGGCCCGACACGATATAAGATAACTTCCGAGAACATTAAGACAATAGAAAAACCGAAACAGAGGTCTTCTGTTGTCCAGGGACCAATAACGGATCCATCGGACATTCCGTCCGTACATACTGCAGGAAAATTAAAAAGAGGAAAAGCAACTGGCAAATACAGTCTGGAGGACTGGATCGGATCTAAAAGAGATCCTGAACCAATAACGAGCGAGGTTGATGAGTTGACGATGACCCGACGCCTAGCTCCATTGGCATTCGAAGAGTTGCTTGGAGCGAAACAAGATTTAACTACTGTCCTTCCTGAAGTTGAAAACTTGGTCTGCTTGAAAAGGCGGCAAGGAGATTATTTGCCCTACGACAATGACCAGCTGCTGGGTACTAAACAAGACAAGGATCCCTTTGGTTCTGATAACTTGTTTGGCACGAAGTTAGATGAATTAGTGGCTTTTCCTTACACCCCTGAGGAGCTAGCGCGCATAAATCAAAGTCGTCACAGGCCGTCACGACTGCCCATTATCATTGAGGAAGAACAAGATTTCCGGGAGCGTGATGCTGCTTGCTTCGCCGTAGGATACGAAGCTATAAAGCATTTAAAGCTCCGTGGAACACGAATTGCGTCATCCTCGCCTAATATCACTGAAAAGCGATGGTGTGTAGCCCAAGCAATCAAAGCATGCCATCCTTTTCTTACGGCTTTACTTTCCATTATGTAAGCAGGCTTTTGTGCTTTAATCACGATGTGTTTGTTGTAGGTACGACAAGCTTCTGCTGTCGAAGAACCCGAGGGCTGCTGAGTCAGCTCGTCAGAACACGGTGCCGGCGGAGACGTCTCCCATTGCGAAGTTCAATAAGAAACCTAAGAGCAGTCTCTCCCCGCCCCCGACGCAGCAGTTTGGTGTGTCGCTGGCTTTCATAAAGGAGAACAATGTCAACATGGTTGGAGCTATCCCTCCGGTTGTGCGCCAGTGTGTTGAATTCCTGTCACAGCCTGATGGTAAGGGAACTATCGATGACGTTCACCATCATTAAATTATTGATTCTAAGGCAAGTTGATACTATTCTCTGTATGTTTTTAGCTCTGGAGACTGAAGGAATTTTCCGTCGTTCAGCAAACATGTCAGTGATCAAGGAGCTGCAGAGCGCCTGCAACAGGGGCGAGCCTCTCCGCTTCCGTAATGATCCTCATAACGCAGCCGTCCTTCTGAAGACATTCTTCAGGGATCTCGAAGAACCTCTTCTGACCTTCGATTTGTATGATGAGATTATGGACTTTCAAAGTGAGTTGAATCAGTAATTTTGTTCTTACTGTATTATACTGTTACTGTTGCCTTTCTCATACTGTTTAGTTTTATTAACTTGCGCGGCAAAAGTATTGTTTTGGATTGCAAATGCGAATTGTTGCAAAGGCATTTGATTTTTAAATTTATTTTATTTATTTTTCAACTGCCTGAAAGATATTTATTTATGTTTTGCGTGCGTATCTTATGTGTATTTAAAAGCATTGGTTCAACCAGTATCTTAACTGACTTGCAACAGAATATTAGTGATTAAATATGGTATTTGTAAAATTTTCCAGACTGGTCACCGCGTGACAAGCCGCGGAAGGTGAAGATACTGATTCTGGAGCGCCTGCCCCTGGACAACTACATGCTGCTAAAATATGTGTTCCAGTTCTTATGGAAGGTAGGAATTACATTTTGTTGAATATTTTCACATAACCATCACACACATTAAATTGGAACAACAGTTTAAAGATACAAAAAGCTCTCCTGTTTGCTGGGTATCCACTTAACGATACCCAGAACTACTACTCCCACTGTGTCGACTTTATCAGAGACTAGCTTTTACCCTACCCTACCCTAGCCTACCCTACGCTACCTACCCTACTCTACCTACTCTGATCTACGCGACCTACCCTGCCTTACGTACCCTACCTACTCTACTCTACGCGACCTACCCTATCCTAGCCTACCTACTTTTCCCTAACTTACCCTACCCTATGTCCTTCTCCCAGCTCTTAGCTAAGTCCCTGCCAATTTACAGCCAAATCGATTTAGTCGTTCTTGAGTTACAAATAATGTAACAAACAGAACTTTGTTTTATATGTACAGGTTTCTGTTATGTCAATAATAATTTTACACCGTACCACACAACTTTTATCACAAATCCACAAAATAAGTAGATGTGTGTGTGATAGAAAATATGTAATTATAAGCAAACTTTATTAAAAAAAAATTTTTGTAATTTCAATCAAATACTACCTTGTTTTGGTATATTTAAGTTATTAACCCGATGCTCTCTCTCTTCAGGTGCAAGACAGGAGCTGTCTGAACAAGATGACGACAAGCAACCTAGCTGTGGTGTTTGGCCCGAACCTCGCCTGGCCACCAAACGGACAGATGTCACTCCTGTCCATCGCTCCCATCAATAACTTCACCGATTTTCTCCTTTCACACCAGGAGTCCATCTTCATAATTTAAACACTACAATATCTGTTGCCTCCAATCCCCGAGGTACATTCAACCCTATTCACATGTAGTTAAAGGTGAATGTTTGTCAAATGTTAATATAGATATGCCAAATTTTTGTTAGAACGGCGTTCGAAGTACCTATAGAGAATGTTTACATTCGTTGTTGAAATTACGGATTTATGGTGAGGGGTCTAAGGTTGAATCTCTTTTATTATTTTGCTTGCGCTTGTATTTGTTTAAGATTATTATGTATTTATTGCTATGTAATACTAATCTGGATTATGAATTCACGTGGATCGCATTATGGAATATTGTGGCTGCTGTATGAACTTGACATGGTTGTACAAAGACGCTCAATTTCCAGGCTTGTTTATCAAGCTATGTGTGACGCGAACCTTCAGATAGTCTTTAATCATCTTCATAACTCTATTACTAACACAACCAGCCAAAAAGATTATTTTCCACACATTGATAATAATTTTGTCAAACCATAGTTTAAAATCAAAGAATTGGTATAAACATTTTTATAATTAACATTTAAAGATGATACAAAAGACACTATACGCAAATAATATTACAATATATTTATTTAAACAACAATACTATATGGCTTGCTTATCGCTTAACTAAACACAAAATATATTAAAGTTGTCATTGGTTCCTTCTCTATTTCTAAATTTTATAATGTTTTGCTAAATAGTTTAGATAGACCTGCCTTTCTGTTTTATACAGTAATCCACTATTAATATTAATATAAATATACAACAATATTTAAATATCCGATCCAAAGTCAATTCCATCCGCCATAGCACACGTCCAAGCTTGTAATGCTTTAAATATCACTCAATTTTAAATAGCACCATAATTGATATACAGATACTCAAAATGTGAGTCATTTGTTACATTTTATTATATATACAGGTACATCATTCATTCAAACTATCCATTTAGATGTAAATTTACTGCAACACACACTTCAGAATCAATCGGCTCTCTATAAAAATCTCTTTATCCGAATGTCAAATAAAAGGAATTTTGTAATTTTATAAATACACAAAACAAGTGTATTTTCATATCCTTGATTCAATTTGAAACAGCTATGAGTAAGATTACGTTTATCAGCAAACGGCCTGAATGCTTAGTTCCTAACTCTAAAAAAGTATGTGCAATTACCGGACATTATATTGTTTCTTCCATTATTTTCTGATACACCATGCTGTAATTTTATTTCCAAAATCTTTAATTACAATTCTGTGCACTGCAAAAATCATTTCTAAACTATAAATTATTTCTATTGCGTACTTATGTATTGATTTTTTCATCGCTATTCATGTAACACCAATTTTTCTTTATTCTAGGATGCTTCTTAGCTTGTAGTCGCTTTGTAATAATAAAAATTGCCTATATTTCGCACAAGTATTAATCCTGGCTTCTTCCAAATTGTTAGAATGTATAAATGATGTTTATATATTTAAATAAAAAATATAAATTGGGTATTATATTTCGCTTAGTAGAGCGATGCATGTTCGGTGTAAAGATGTATAAAAAATATTATTATTAGATATGGTTTTCAAAAAGATATTTTATGAACATTCCTAAGTGTAAGGCTTTACAACAAAAACCTGATGAAAATCACACAGTAAGCTAAAATAAGCAAATACTGTCACATACCGTGATCTCAATAAATTTAGCAGTGGCAAATTACATTTGGACAATCCCCGTCTTTTCTGCCTATTGTTTATTAGCTTCAAACACTTTCTCACTGCATTTATATACAACAATTGCCTTTTATATGTATATTCCACAAATATGTCATTAAGAATGTTTATTGTACCTGTTTTTAGTAACAGAACCTTTCATACAAGTCTGGATTTTGTTACTGAACTGCACGCATTGTAAAGGACTGATAGAAATTAATGGATCTGATGTAAATACATCTATTATATAAAAGTAGAGCGGAAACTTTACGGACTGTAGCCTTTAAATTATTTGTAATTTTTGTACCAAGCCCCTGTAACATTTGCAATACTTTTCACGTACAATCCGGTAAATATACAATTTCTGATCATACCAATAACTACAAGATAGTCAAATATTTTTGTACAAAAAGTAATTGTTGTTTTAAAATCTACAGTCCGTAAGAGCTTGTCAAACATTCTACAATATTGTAAAGGTTTTTACAAAATTTTGATAATGTTTTCTCCTTTGTACTTTATCATGTAGACCGTAGTACAATTAATTCATATTAAATATTAATATTGTATAACTACGATACGAGTATAGTTATCAATTTAACACATATAATGTATATTATGTATGTATGTATGGGATCTAATGGGGTAAAATAGTAATAGTATCCCTTGAACTTTTAAATTGTTATTTCTATAGTTATGATGAAAAGTATGTTGATTTGGCGTATCTCTTGTTCCTGAAATCATATCGGAATGTCCCACTACAGATTTCACATTATTATTGTTGCTTTGTGTATGTAAAATAACATATATAATCTGTAATACAAGTAATCTGTTGAAGGAGTCTTGCAATAATGCCGCTGTGGTTCATTCTGCCGATCCGTAAATTGATAAATTATCCATGTGTGATACTGGCCTCCTTTGTAACGGTTTATTGTGGGTCACTACTGCACCACAATGCAGTCTTACAGTCGCTCTTTATAAGTAATTTCTGCGACTTCCTGCGATACTGTGTGACTAACCCGCGGTACTATACGAACTTCTTGCAGACCCTTTGTGATAGAAATCACATCACAAAATGCACAAGAAGCACTCGCAAGTCATATATCAAATGACTAATGGGACTACATTCAATAGTTAAATAAATTTGTTGTCTTAATTGTGATCTTAGCATTCCTAAAAAAAACGTAAACTTCAATACATTTGTTACTGTCTCAATAATAATCTGAGCAACTTAACTAATTGTTGTTACTCACAGAAGCTTATAAACATGAAATAACATATTTATATTAAAACTAGTTATTAAGATTGTATACCAAAAATAACAAAGAATAGCAGTTATGTAGTTTTAAGCCCACATCTTTATTAGTTAATTAACAAGTTGTAAAATAGTTGTTTAGGTCACTTCCGTGTTTAGTATTCAATTGAACTGGTTATTAAAGTAATGTATGGCCAGTGAACATGTGTGCTATGTAAAACAAATATCTTTTTGTAGATAATTTCATAGAAAAATGATAATTTTTCTAAGAAAATATCTACATCGCGCCTACTTATAGTACTTGTTTCGTAAATTCAAACGGCATAATTTCTCATATATTCTTCTTTATATTCCTTATTTCAGTGTATCTATAAGACGATAAAGTTATACTTTGTTTTATTTTTCAAGTGTTAGAAAGAAAACATGAATGTAATTTTAGGAAGATGTGTCATAACGTTTGGACTCGCCGATCGAAACAAAATCTGTGTAACATATAAATAAATAGCACCCTAATGCGTAAAGCAAGATATCTATATATACATAAGGTACATACGTGTCGTTCCCCGAAGTTGATTATATAATCAGAGTAATAGCGGTCTGGCTGGGGGCATAATCTTTCTATCAAGCCAGTTAACTCGCCAATTTATCACTCTAGTGCATAACTTGCATGACAGTATTGCCTATAGAAAATATCACTTTGTATTCTTTAATATTTCAAATGTTTGATTTATATCAAAGCGTCTTCTTGACCCTATTTACTTTGTTTTATCTATTCATACAATAATTTCGTTGAAGTATGCAACATATTTGACAGTACACACTTGTATTTTTATGGATACTTGATTTACGCAAAAACAAAGTGTAATGAACCGTGCCATTTGCTACGAAGTACCATACTCTTGGTGTCACAAACAAATTTCATGTTTTCAAGTTAGAAGAGAAAGATATAATAATATTATAATGTAATAGATCAGATAAAGACTAAGATACAAAGATTTTCCCTGTGCTGCAAGGTTGACTCATTCATTAATGCACCTTGTTTAGTCGAAATTACGATAGATGGCGTTTTGTTCAATTAACATGAAAGTGTGTCGGCGTGTGAGTCAGACTCTTGAACCGGTTTGTCGTGCACAATTTTAAAAATGAAAGTAATTGTACGTCATAATAATCACCAGCGCCAGCCTACGGTAATTGCTATCGCGATATCGTTACACATGAACCGTTGAACAATAACCTAATTGAGATTTAGTATTATTTCTGTAAGATTTTTTATATTTATTTTATAGATAGTCGTCGTATAATCGTAAACATGATGAAATTATCTTAGTTTAATGTACAACGAAGTTTATTTAGAACTTTATTTTTTCATTTGTAATTAATATGGTAACCGGAAAGGGTATTTGTAAGATTTTTACCTAATAAAAGTGTATAGGATGATGTTTGTAATAATTGTAACAGACAGTAAGTATGTAAGTTTTGTTGCGTCGGATCTGTGGCTTTATGAAAGCTATGTAGACTTTCTAATAAAAAATGTATAAAATAAATAATCTATGTATGTAACACTGGGAGAAACAGGTATCCACAACATAACAACAAATAATATTATGTAAAATTCGACCCATCACATCACTGTGAGTGACAACCTATTAGGTATTCGTCTGATAACCTCAATTTAAATACATTTTTTATTGGTAAGCTGAAAAGGAGATATGGTACATATTTTTTTTTATTTAATTTAGATCTAGTTTTGTATTTTTAGAGTTAATTGTTTAAAATTTAATATATAAATGTTAACAAAAAGAAACACTGTAATAACTTGATTAAATTAGTATCAATTAATTGTGGACTTTTATTATCATGATGTCCCATATTAACTGGCTAAACAAACCAATACTGCAGATAAAATAGTGATGTACATGAAGTTCATGGCATGATGCATGCTCATGCCGTATTTTGACAGATCTAAAGCATAATTCGACTGTCTGTAATATGACATCTGTCAAAAAAGTATTGGTTGAATTTTTTGCATATTAGACGTTTATTTATGGAATAAATGGGAAAATGTCGTGGCTATTGAACGGTGCAATACAAATTACAAAATGGGTTGCAGATTGATTGATTGCGGCGTTGATTTGATAACAAGCTGAGACTAGACAATCCGAATATATGTAGCTAACCTAGTTCAATAGCATTTTGCAAGCAATTCTATTGGCCCTAACTACTTTTGTATCTACTAAAATAATATTACATTGGATTGATTGCCTTGCCCCGGGCTTTTAAATCAGATGCATTCAAGCTAAGAAATATAAGCAAATACCTAATCTTTTTAGATTATGCGAGCAGAACTCAATAAATATTTTATGTTCAAACGTCATTTTTGTAGGTATCAATTGATCAATTGCTACATAACAGCTGAAGCCGGCTCAGATCAGCAGGGCTATTGGCTCTATCTTAATGTTTTAGTATACGATTCGACAAGGAGTAAAGGCCAAGAATCTTTCTGACAAACAGTTCTTACAATACAATAAATTGTATTTGATTTTCTTGCAATGGGTATTACACTTGGGATTTTCTCTCTTTGTTTACTCTACTTCGATATAATCGATAGCGAAATAAATCGTTATAGATTATCTAAATTGTAAATGTTTTAAATGAAATTAGTCGTCCAAACGATCAGTAAGTTTAAATGCCAAGGTGAACCTTTGTAAATAATAAATTTACCTACTTAGTTAATTTTTAGTTTGTGTTTAATGACTGGATTTGTATCAAATACTGCAGGAAATCGTTCCTGCAGTATTTGATACAAAGATACGTATTCATTCGAAAAGCGTACCTACTATTATTATAAAGCACCGGTGGCGCAACGACCAATGACCATAGAGTGCTTGTTGAATTAATATCTGTAATGTGTTGTGAAGCAGAGAAATAGGGAGTTCAATTTTCACGACATATCGATGAATGAATTCCATGTCTTTGTGATATTAAACTTCATAGTAATAAAATGTAAGTATAGATGTAATGACAATATATTCCATTAGTGCTGTTGTCTTGTTGACCGAACGCTCGATAAAAGTCACCTTAACATTTTATATTGGTAGATTTGGTAGGCCCGGTGATTGGAAATATCAGCACTCAGATTAATTAAATTAATAAACAAAATAAAAAACATTTTAAAATAAGCGGTCTATATTCTATTTAGTACCTATGAAAACTTCTACCCTTGAAAACTAAGAAACAAAATTTTGAAATACGTCATCTGTCTACTAAGCCTTGTTTGATTGTATACTTCTTATTTTATATTCTTTATCCAAATAAGTAAAATAAGAAAGATGCAATTAAATAAAATATACTTATTCTCATGTTTTGTAATAGTTGTCGAATCATGCGTGGTCCAACACTATAACTCACACCACTTTATACCAAAGACAATTTCCTAAAAAAACATTTTAATTGTCTAGTATCTATTTCTGTTATTTAATTAGGTTTTTAAAGTAACAAAATTAGTTTTTCATTGATCAAGGACCTGATTTACAAATTTGCTTAGTTGTATCACTCTAATTTCAAAATAATTTGTAAAACTTTCTACCATACTTTCACCACTTTTTTAGTATTGCAACATTTTGAACTTTTTTTCGATGAGAGCGCCAACTGGTGACTAATTTCTGTAACTTCATATTGATATCTCTGGCTCTATGTTCATGTTGTAATTTATTTTAGTAATTTGTGCTACTTGCTGACAAATCCAATGTTTATTAACTATGTGTTCGTGTTTGGTTTATTCTCGGCATTAAGGAATTAAAAATCTTGTCTCCATGTATATGTTATGCGGCAAGTTACTTTCAAAACCAATGACATTAGATGAACTCGATGTGCGTTTTGGCCATTTTACTTGGCTTGCGTTGGTGATTCGTACATAGTCACGTGACCAAAGTAGTTTTTGGATCAATGGCGCCAAATGTCTGTTACAGAAAATGTATGTGAATTATGAGGTATTTAAACATAGTGCATTATTGCAAATTGATATGCAATCGACTTGTTGTATATATGATATACATTGATAGCGAAACGATGGTGAAAATGATGCGTAGGACTCACGTCAATCTGGCAACAAAACAGTGCTGCTATCTATGTTGTCAACTTTGTTATGTAGCCTACAATGGAGAATACTCGTGAGATAAATATTTACGGTTAATTATTATAGAATGAAAATATCGGATCCTTGCGTTGTGTGGTGTGAGTGCATTTTATACATAAGTGATGGCCACAAGTGATTCTGTCGGCGCGCGGCTCTGCTATTGGACGCTCCGATATTTACAGTCGCAATCCAACCAGTGGCCCGCCATACATTTTACAAGTGCAATAAAGTGAAACGTCAAACGGGATTGTTATTCATTTTCATACATATGCACTGAGAAAACGTATATTTCGACATTTATTTATCATATCATGTATTGTGTGGAGGTTAAACGCGATCCTAATGCTTTATCACCTGTAACGTTTTGCATTGTCGAGTCCCGAATTTGACATTTTTGTTCTATGCGGGTATGTCAAAATGCTTTTGTACCTAAAAGCCCTTTATACTACGCTAAAACTCTGTTTACCAATGCTAAACCACTTTTGTACAGAGGTAATTTTGCAAGTAACACATTGTTTTGTTGTCAGATTCACTGTGCTCATTGTATTAGAACTGTCAAAGTTTGTGAATTCTAGTGTTGAATGGAGCAATTTGTGCTACTACAGTACACCAGTTAACCTCGAAAGATATCAGTGTTGTCAGAAGTCATAACCGCATCATACAGTTGACAAGTTCATGTTAAACATTGGTGATTTTGTTTCAGGTTTACAGGACGCAAACTGAAGTGCCATGTAGTGAATGATGTGACATTCTACACAATGTTGTTGCCGCGTTCTAAGTGTAAAGCAGTAGAAGGATCGTGAACATGTAGGTTGTGGACAATTTAGCGAGATGTCGTTGAGAGGCACAAAGCGGGCGACTGGGATGCGCGGTGATGAAGCCGGCGTATCCAAGCGCCGCAGGACGGAGCCCGAGGATGCTCTCTGGCAGCTCCGGCCTGTTAGTGACCTCAAGATGTCATCAATATATAACAGGAGTGCCTCTGAGGCACCCGCAGAACTATTCAGGTTTGTGTGAATTGTTTGGATTGGATGCAATTATTAAAACACGGTACATAGTATTAAGTTCAGTATAATATTGGTGAGATTGTTATTAGAAAATAAATTGTATGTTAAGCTCATACATACTTGCCTCTGGTTTCTGCAATTTGATTCGTCAATACATTATCAAATATCACTTACTGATGCTTTTGTCATTTGTCAACTACTTAGGTCCCTAAATCATGCATACATCATGTTCAGAAACCAAAGGTAGAGATTCCTTCACCTATGTAGTCTACTCTTTAGTAATAACTTAAGTACTGTATCTCTATAAAAATATTGGTTTGTTTGGGTTTATTATATTATTGCTACTGCCATTTTGTTCATGTATTGAAGCTCTGGCGATTCCTTTAACTGCTATGTTTAGGTTCCGTTTCTAAAATAATTGTTGAAATGAAACAATTGAATACACACGCTTGCTAAGAATATTTATTGCAGAAAAAGTTATACAATATCAAAAGAATAATGCAATATAATTGAAATTGGGTTCAAGTCCCTTAACCATATAAGAATATTATAATATTATTAAAGGATATAAAAGCAAAGTATTTCCCAATCCACTATAAAACTAATAGCTAAAGCGCACTTGCATTGCGATTCTTTTAAAAATCAGCGAATTTTAAAACCCCTTTATTATTGCAGTGCTTGGCTACACCTTTTCTTGAACATTCCTCTTATTATTGCTTCCAAGTATTTTTTGATAACATCAAATCCTTATTATAATATATTTTTGTATACATTGCTATGCTGTTTCATATTGCATTTTAAAGTCCATAGAATACCATATAATTTAATTAGACCCAAACATGAATGAATGTTGTTGCCAAAACAGTATAAGACAATTCAAACACTGAATGATATACAATACATAGCACCACAATAATGGTGTTCATTATTTTAATTATTAATCTATCATTGTTATATTTATTTAAATTCATTATTTATTAAGAATTGACATTGCGACTGTAAATTTAATTTATCAATTGTATCTTAGTATTAAGTATTTGTTAATTATAGTAAGATATATATACTTAATGGATTGGGAGAATGTGCCTATTTTAAAGATTTAGAATACATAAAGATAGATGATCTACTGAAAAACCCACACTAAAGAGACTAACACAGGCTTTCTGGAAGGCTGATGAAATGTATCATGTTTATAAGACAATGTGTTGCTATTCTCAAGATCTCAGTATTACATTTTGCATCAGCATTCTAGAAATCTGTCTAAACCTATACCATTATAACAATAATAAAAAAGAACCACATATGAAAATAACTTGCAAACATTGTTATCCCTGTTTTTGCCATAATATCCTCATTTGTTCCCAAAAAATCAAATATAAATTAAAATGCTGCTGTGTGATACAATTTTTCTTGAGAAATAACATTTAATTTTTCTCCTGTCTTATTATGCTAGCCAGAAATCAAGAATTTTAAAATTGGCTTCGACAAATTTTATGTTTAATTTCTAACTTTTTTAATTTATTATAGCAACCACAGGGTATTTTCTACATTCTACTACACTAAAGTTAGGAAGAAAAATATGTATTTCATTCAAAGTATACAGCCATATTCATAATACCATAATTTTAATAATATTGTGTCAAATTTGTATTTATTTTTAAGTAATTTATTTGTTATCCTTTTATTGTAGAAAATAATTAGCTTGTATATGTAGATTTAAAAACCATGTTGGATTCTGTATTAGTTTATCCATGTATTTATAAACAATGATAATGAAATGATTTGAATTTGATATTGAAATTGAATATTCTATGCGGCCATGGCCAAAATTAGCTTCATGTTTATTTTTAAAGAGAGCAGAACCAATGTAAGCCATCCCTTTGTTAGATTATGTTTTCTTAAAGTCTTCTTGAACTTCTGGCTTAAGCTGGGTCTGTAACCATTTATTATCTTCCTTGCTATGGTGCGTATTTATTGTCAAAGTCATGACTAATAATTTTTTCACCAAGTTTAGAAGTCACACATGGCCAGTATAACAATGTTACAATTTAAAAAATTGTATAGTTTACCAAAGTATTTTCTTAATTTAATAGAATGAAGTGGCAAAGTAATATATAAAAAATGTGTTCCAATGTATACTAAGAAATATACATATTTTTCTTCATATTTACTACAATAGTTACAAAATACACTCCATGGCTTTATAGCTCATTATGAGTAATGCGGTACAAGCATAATAGAGTACACACAACCGAAAAGAACATGAGAATGTTCCAAAACATGTTATCATTACCAAAGCAACCACAAAACCAAATAAATAGATAGAGGCCTGCGAACACAGTAGATGGGTCATATCCGTCGAGTAAGTCCATCTTTCCGACTCCTCACTCCAAAAACGAACAGGCACAAATATCTTAAGTCCTGAAACAAAAAGACAAACTATTTGTTTCTCCAGTTAAAGCATTGTGTTAGCATACGCAGTTATAACGAATTTTAAGAAGGAGGGGAACTTTATTTTGAATTGCTAAGTGTCTGTGATTGCGTTTTGTTCATACTTGAACTGTCCATAACACCATGAGATGTTGTGTATGCTAATTGATTGAGCTGAATTTGACATGTTAAGGTTATTTTCTTTCTCCCAATGTTGTAAGAAGTTTATTCGAAAATTTACCTTGTTAGAACTGCGACCCGGATTGCTTAGGCTGGATTGCCAGTCACTTTCGCGCTGCGGTTCTGAAAAATTCAAAAGTTAATTTTAAGCATAAAGTTATACAGCTTAAGTTTTTGGGGTGATCTGGTATACTTAATATTTGCCACTAGCTTAACAAAAAAAACCATCTTATGAAGTAAAATAATAAATTTATACCACCTTCATAATGCTGGAGCGATGATCATGTAAATTTTATTCTATACTTAGGCCAAGACAAATTTGAAATGTTTGTAAAAAGACACAAAGGTAGATGTAGATCACACGGAATTTTTCATTCCTGAGCTTTCGTCTTTTTGTTGTCTCTCAAAACTGTCAATAAATAGAGTGACATAGAGGGCGGTAGTGTGTCAGCTCGCATCGTATTTACCGGGACGTAAGTTCTACCCTTGTGGTTTGTTTACAAACATTCAATCTTGACCTTCATTTCGGTCCAAATACTTATTCTACTAAGGGCTGATTTTTCAATGGTTAGATAAAAGTTACTGGGGAATAATTATGATGCTGTCGCGTCAGAATGTTTGTATAAGACAGTGACAGCAACATTTTTATTCCTCAGATACATTTACTGAAATATGATGATGCGTGCTTTTGAAAGGTACTCGTTGTCAGTGAAAGTTCTTTTAACTTTAATCATATTCGCGTTGCAGCAAGGTAACAATTTACCTTATTGTCGTTAGTGATTCTACAGCAAAAACTATATCTAGTCGAATTAAAATTATCACACGAACTTTAACTGATTACACACAATTACATATTACTGTAGCCATGGACGATGTTTTGTTCTATTTTTTTCACTAACCCGCAATTTTTAATATAAAATGTTAATTTTATTGTAAGGCACATTCTTTCAATATTTCTGAACTAAAAGTAATGCTTGGCGCTTTGAATCTCAGAGTACAGTACAAATCAATATAGGTCAAGCAATATTGAACCTTGTGTCATACTTCTAGTAAGTTGTATCAAATCGATCGGTAATTGATGCATCGTTTTGAGTACCTTGAATATATGAACAGTGGTCAGTGATAGCATAATTATGTTAAATTGAATGAAAAAAAGTTGTCATGAAGTTTCTATAATTTATCATTCAAGTTTATGCTCTAACTCTATAGAATTATAGTTCTTTATCTGTTTTCTAACTTGAAACTTATATTGTGCTAATGAAGGACTTTGTATTGCGTTTTGAATTAACCGTAATATGAAATCTAACTTAATTTTTTGTAGATCAATAATTAACTACTAAGCCTACTTAGTATGTGCTTAGTATAACATACTAACTTTTCTAAAATCAATCGCTATCAATATCATCAGCTTTTGGTAATAATACATAGTAATCTTTTCTGTTTTCTATTACATTTTAGATCATTTTATGTGTAAATTTTATGTTTCATCTACTGATGGTAATGGCTACTTTCATGAATTCATGAATATATAACAAGGGACCTGCAGACACACTATGTGTTTAATAAGTCATGTATTGTATGGTCAAGTTTGTAAAAGGACTATCAGAGAAAAGCACTGTAAGTTGCGAAAAGGTTTCTCTACCCAGATTCGAATTAAACTGAAACGGGTATTGTTAATGGTACCAAGGTAAGCGTTAGAATTTAGAATAACTCAACATCTTAATTCTTATGAGTATTGCAGAAAAGATTAATATGTATTCCAGGTAAAATTTGCAGACCATACGAGGTCCAAAAATAGTATGAATACCCATGTTTTGAATAATTGATAATAATTTGTGTGGAAATCAATATCAATACTTTTTTCGTGTTGTCTGTAAATATGTCATGGGTATGGTTCTAAATGAAACGGTGAGAACAAATAAATAAAACAACTTAATTCTATGAATTCCAGAAAGGACCTCATCAGCGCCATGAAACTGCCGGACAATGAGCCACTTACACAGTCTTCATACTGGGTTATTACCGACACGTGGAAGCAGGACTGGGAGAGAGGAGTACAGGTTCCTGTCAATCCTGACTCCCTCCCCGCGCCCAAAGTCAAGATCATTGACAATCCACAACCACCAAACTTCCAAGAATTCAAATTGTAAGTAGTTTTTATATTCTATACTCCCTTTTAATACATTTTTAATTGACATATTTAAGAGTTTACTAGTACGGACCACAACCGATTTTATTTTTAAACGTAACGACCATAATCGGTCTTATTTATACTCAATTTCTCAAAACTCACCTTTTATTTGGACAAAAATCTTAATTTCGATGATAGTGAACACAAATCACAATAACTGTTATAATATTTAATATTTTTTGTCTGACAGGCCTAAGGACAAATATATTCACCTCAGTCGAGATGCTCACTACCATTCAGACAAACACATACTGAGTCAAACGCCGGCGCGGGCCGAGGCCGCTTGTAGTTATGACTTGGATGCGGCTGACACTGCATGGCTCAAACTGTTGAACGCAGAGCGCGCAAGGGCAGGCGCACCGCCCGTCACAGAAGATCAACTAGAAAAAGTCATCGAAGAACTAGAGGTAAGTGTTGCTCTATTATTTGCACTTCTCACAATACCCTTTGATATTGTGATTTTCAATTCATAATCTACATTACTACAAACAATTTTCGACCTTAAGGATGTGGGTTACGCAAAACGACAATTTTTTAACGACGTATGTGCTGCCGGTGGTATTCGAAAATGTTCCCTATTTATTACATGTTGAATCCTATTTTGCTCATCGACTTCTAATGCTGTTTTCTTGGTATGCATGCGAATAATGCAATGATTTGCGTGTTACATATTAGATAGTCACTGCAACAATAACTTTCAAGTTGACCTATATTCAAGTGCAAAGTTGATGCATGTTTCTGTTAAAATCTCTGATTTACATGAAACATTGTAGGATGAATAGCTTATTAATAATAAATAGGTCTGAGGACCTTGTCTTGAACCATACTCTAAGCTAATGTATATTTTCATCTTTAACAATATAATACAAAAATAGTCAACAATACTTATTTGTCACAAACAACTTTATTATTATTTTATTTATTTTAAAGGGCAATTACAACAGGTAACGATTGACATGATAGGTACAATCTTTTATACAGTACCAACAAATTATTTATACAGTGTCAATCAACTATTTCAACCTAATGGATTAAGAATCTTAAATAAATCCAAAAGCTGCTTTCAAAAGCCTGTTGAAAACTATCCGAAACGACCGCTATTGGCTTCGGACAATTTAAGTAATTTCTTGGAAAATTTTCACAGGTGCAATTAATTATAAATTGGTGGAGCGATCCCGACAATACGTTTACTGATAACATCAGAATAACTTATATTCATATTTACGCAGTAACGGGTCATAGATCACTTGCGCGGAGTTTCTTTGTTAAGGCGTTCAACACACAGGAAAAATGCAAAACGTTTGATGGTAACTGATTGGCAACTATATTCATTCACACATCTAGTCACGTTGGGCTACACGTACGAAGGGTATTTTGAGGTACCGACGCCGATTTAAAGTAAAAACTGATTACTCTAAAAGCTCTCGCGTGGACAGCTGTCTGTCCGACGATATTTTAAAAGCCTTTCATTTTAACGGACGACGCGACGGTGTTACAAAATACTTTGAACCTTCCTCTACTTTACTCTTAGTAAATGCTACCAATATTCCACCGTGAATTCTTAGTAAGTTTATCTAGGCCCTAGTTTTTGCAAAGATGTCCGAAAACACTGAATTCTTTATTGTTGTCAACTCACTTCAATTTTATATTGACGTTACACGGCGATCGCGAAATTGAACTATCGTAAGTTTACTTGTTGGTTTCGAACAAGTATTAATAATGTCATTTTGTATTAGCAACTCGCTCTCAATCCTCGCGGGCGCTTGAGGGAAAAACTTTATTTTTCACAATACCCTACTTTGTATGGTAGCGGATTGTAATCAAGTTTGCGACATTAACAATTGTAACAAATCCTATTAATGTTTCTGAAATGATAATTTATGTTTACCTTCTACTGTTTCGGCACATTGTTTCTAATATGATCGTCCTATCACCCCGCGGGTCTTTGATCGATGCACCCCTTTTTTGCATCAACAAAGACCACGCTAGGGTTTAATAAGGGTTCCTAACTAAAGCTTATTGCTGTCCAGTCGTCGTTATTAATTCGACCGCGTCATGTTAGTACGCTTTGAATAGCGAAATACTGATTTAATTCGATGTTATTAGGCGTGTACATGCGCTTTGTATTACTGTCATCAAAGGCAAGGCAACAGTTTCAATTAGAAGCGCTCCTATTGATATGCACCATAATATCCCAGGTAACATTAATTGCGTAGTCACACACAGATGCACCGTATAAAAATGTTGTATTTATTTATTTTGTACAAGGAAATTTACTTTGGTACCTACCGTTATCGCGAGACATGTCGAAACTAACGTTTGATAACTGGTTGAACCTTTATCTAAAGTCGCGGGTACTAGTTGCTCGGCCCGTCTTATACCTTGCAGTACTAAACAAAAATATATTGTGAAAAAATCAACAAGTTTTTGCATTATCCTTTCATTAAAAGTAGTAAATTGAAGATGATAATGTGTATGGATCGTGTGTCCATGCATATTCTAGTTTTATTATGTTAATAGTTTTCACTATCCTGGCTAAATTGACAGTGTAAAGTTGCGTAATTGAGGAAACCACGACGCGAGCGTAGTATGGCGTTGGTCGCATACTTCGGCCAGGGAAATACGCGAGGGGGGGGGGGGGGGGGGCGCGACGTTCGCTAGACATACAGATACAGATACACACACATACAAGTATCCTCTTTGTGAGCACGCCGAGTCCGATCACTCACACTACATCATTTTAACCCCTCAGTGCTTTTATTACTTCCGCGCTGCAATTTGGAATGCATAAAAGTTTATTAAAATTGACTGGTGACCGGTACTCAGGTACAAAACATTTTATTACGTTGTCATATACACACGCCGCTTTTACTGTCATACATTAAGTACACTTCTAGGTCCTTGCTTGTTGGAACTAATTGGTAATACGACAAATTAGTGAAAATTGAACTTTATGCCCACTGCATTAAGTTAATTTTGTTACTGCAAACTTTTAAAATGATGAAAATATATCTTAAAAATATGGCTGGGCGCCGTAGGTTAGTTTAGCCTCGCGTACATAATGTTGTAGCAATAACAGTTACGCTATTATATCTAAGCAACGTGCATTAAGACAGATTATCTTATGGTAGCTGCATAAGTCTAGACGATTGATTGGGGTAAGCTCGCATGGTACATACGCTAAGAAGCTTAGTGCTTACTTCAAATACAGGCTGGGCTTTAACGAGCTTACCTATACACGGCCAATATCAATATTCGTATTCACTATATTCGTCTTTGTTATATGATACCTATTTGCCTACCTGTTCATTATTGGGGAGCATCAGGGCTCGTTTCAGGATTTCTAGGATGTTGAACTGATTGGTAAAACCTGTTTGAATACTTTATTCCGCGAATACCAGTTATACAGAATTACAGATAATAATAATTTGCAGTAGAAAAGTGTAAAGTATATACCATGCAAGTTATCAAAAACATGAGATAAATTAATGCAAGCACGGGAACAGAAACTGAACTCATAACGTGCGACATAACATTTTTCCTTTGTAACTCGTTACAAACAATATTAAAAGTAAAAAGATACACGCTCTCTGCACCAAGCTTTTCATTCGTTAAACGTAGTTTTTGTAAATAAGTGAATGTATGTAGGTACTTATTATTTGATTTTCCTCGTGTGTGAGTGAAAATGCAATAAGCCAGTACTTTGTGAAACGGAGACAAAAAACAAACAAGGTAGTCGCTTGCTATGACAGGTTGTTTAAATTGTCGGCGTAATTCATTTGCACTCTTAATATAGCAAGTATTTGATATCTAGTGGTTTAGGTCCCTTCAGCTTACAAACGGGAGGCGGTCTCGCCACCCACCTCCCTGTTAAGCCGATGTGATTGGTCCAGACTAGAATTTGTAAAAATAATAAAATGCTCAACGCTCCATTCATTTAGTGTTTCTGAAAGGAGCTCGCGGCACTATTTGTATTGGTTTGTACGTGCATTTCCATCAAACAGAGGGCGCCCCTGCCGTACACATGTTTGACGAAAAAGAATTGAATGTTCAAGTTCAATATCTGTGTAGTGATTTAATTTTGACTGCCCCATGTTCTAATGTGGGCCTTTGAAGTAATATGCTCATACAATATACCCTTGCATAATAGGTCCAGGAATTTTGTTGTCTCACTTAATTAATCACATAGAATTTATATAATATTCAAATATTATTGAACATTATTCTTTTATCCGACTTAATGTAGTTAGATACTGATGTTGCCACAGCAGCATTGGTTGGTTAGTCGAGGAGTTCGGAGTGCAGCAATAATCAATAGCCTGATAGGAAACAAAGCTCGCTAAGACTCAATTAGTCGACACTGACCGCTGTAGCTCAACCCCGGCCTGAGAATATTAAATGTGCCTCGCGACCTCGACTTTATTAGCTCTTGGGTCATTGCATTTTTTTTTATTAAAGTTCATTTGAAGTTTATTACAGTGCTGGTTGATAGTAAGTACGGTGCCATGGTGTATAACTCTTACATAGCAGTAAGGTGAGGACGTCAGCTTCGATCGTGTCGTGAACTTCAAACACTAGTCACTAGTCATATTCATCAGAATCGTGGTAGGGTTGGCAAGATTATATCCGCGTCTTCCCATACTATAGGAACACCGATACTTATTCTTTGCTCTTTAAGCCTTTTTGTTAACGGTGAACAGCTTTCGGAACTCTAATACCAAGATTAGTCCACACAGCTATTTCTATCTATCTATATATCTATATTAAATTACTGTGTAAATTTAATGTGCAGTGAAGGCTTGTAGCTTAAAATTAAGCTAAATGTGTGTGCAGTGCATTAAGGTTCATAAGCCGTAGTTAGGACCTTTCGAAGTACATGTGTAGGTACATCGAACTTTGACGCAATGTCGGAGTACACCGTCCAGTCCCGGTACCAAGATAAAGTTAGCCTTTTGCAGTTTGCAATTTGAATCTGCAGGAATAGTTTGAGTGATAATTAACGCACGTGGAAGTTACGAGCGGATGTATCCACTCGATAAATTTGCTTATTCAGGCCTTTCAAACTAAGGCTCCCCAATACAAACTAAAATTGTCAGAACGTCCAGGTGTTGATTAGGCACATTCAGTCTGAATGTGAGCTGTGCAAGTTTTATTACTGTTTGTTTTCATTTTCAAATCAGTATGCCGAATAAATTATGTATGGACGTAACGTTCGGACGTAATTTCAGATCCCGTAGTTCTCTGTGTTAGAAATTTACATACACATCGTCATTCTCTGCTTGTCTGTTTGTGGCGATTCTATATTATATAACTTTTCTTGAATCTACACGTATAGCTTTCGGAAACCTAGTAATATTTACATATCGAGACATAGGGAGCGGCAACGCCTGAAATTTCTTGGAATCTC